AGACAGACAGAGAGACAGACAGAGAGACAGACAGAGAGACAGACAGAGAGACAGAGAGAGACACACAGACAGAGAGGGGTGGTGGACAGCGACGACATGGAGAGGGGGATGGAGAACAGAGGGGAGAGAGGGGCTCACACTCTTGGTCGATGGGATGGGCAGCTTGTAATAATGGAGAGGCCCGGATCCTCCATGTGCTCCATCCTCCCCCTTCGCTCTCATCGCAGCAGTCAGGAGCTCCCTCACACGGCCTCCACCGATCACCGCCTCGGCCTTTCACATCTAGTGGGGGGAAAGGAGGCTCTGGTTAACCCTGGCCTGTTTCTGGCTGGTGCTGGGAAGATCCTCACAGGGCAAGGGAGAGAATCGGGGAGGGGTTGGGGGATACAGGCTGGACAGCAAAGGGACGGATAGCAGGCTCCTCACTGCTGTGAAATAGCAGGAAGCCACTCGGCCCATCTTATCATGGCTGCTGAGGAAGTTCTCCCACTTACTAGCTCTCGGTCTGTATATGAGGAGTTTCTGTCTCTCCCATTCCTTGTCAGTTAATGTCTTCCAGATCTCCATCACCCTCTGGCTGAAAAGAATTACCCTCAACCTCTCCCCAATCCACTTAACAATTATTTCAAATCTACAATCAGGAGTGGGAGGGAATACTCCCCACTTGCCCCTGGATGGGGGCAGCTCCAAAAACACTCAAGAAGCTCGACACCATCCACAGCCTTTTTGACTGGCACCACATCCACAAACATCCCATTTCCCCCCCCACCACCGACGCTCAGTAACAGCAGTGTGTACCATCTACAAGATGCTCTGCAGAAACTCACCAAAGATCCTCAGGCGGCACCTTCCAAACCCACCACCACTTCCATCTAGAAGGACAAGGGACAGCAGGTACATGAGAACACCAGCCCCTGCAAGATCCCCTCCGAGCCACTCCCCATCCCCAACTTGGAAATATATCACCGTTCCTTCAGTGTCGCTGGATCAAATTCCTGGAATTCCCTCCCTAACAGCGCTGTGTAGGAGCCCCTACAGTACAGTGATTTGATAAGGCAGCTCCTTCCCACCCCAAGGGGCAGCTAGGGACGGGCACGAAATGTTGGACTAACAAGTGACACCTACAATCCACGAGTGAATAAAAATAAAACTCCTAGACCACTGCTGTCTGGGAATGAAATGGGTCTCCCTAGCCACAGTACAAGACCCTCAGTTTTATCCCTCTAACCCCCTCCCCCTCCATTACATCACCCTCTGCCTCCTCGGTTTTGGGAGAGAACCTCCTCCTTAAGCCTCTTCGATTGTACCTCATCGCCAATTCCTGGTGAGATCTGCTTCTTGCCCGATCACGGTGGTGGGGGTGGGAGGGGAGGGGAATTTCTGTCTTGCTCCCACCCCCCACGGGAAGCCCCATTAACCTCCCTCCCGCCCCCCACGGGAAGCCCTGTTAACACCGTCGCTCGCTCCCTCCCACACCCCCCCACGGGAAGCCCTGTTAACCCCCTCTGTCATGCCAAGCCCCGTTAACCCCCTCCTCCCCTCACGGGAGGCCCCGTTAACCCCTGCCCTCCACCCCCCAGCGGTGCCCACCTGCACGTGTGCTCGTTCAGTTCCTGCCCTTTCTCCTGGCACCGGCGGTGGGACAGGCGGCACTGGCACTCGCAGGTCTGTGGGTTCTGATCGAAGCCATGTCGCTTTCTGTGAGAGCAGGGTTTGCAGCGGGTCCTGAGGTCAGACGCAGAGAGAGAGAGAGAGAGAGAGAGAGAGAGGTGGGGGCGGTCAGGCAGCAGATTCTGGGAATCAGGTCACCGCGGGGGCAGTAATGGCCGCCCAGCAAAGGTGCCCTGGTGAAGAGAGAGACAGCAAGAGAACTCGGGCACAGCATTCATGGGATTCCCTTCACCCACCCAGCGAGACAGATCGCCCCACACCCCACCATCCACCGAGATGGTTGGCCCTGTGCCACACCCCCCCACCATCCACCGAGATGGTTGGCCCCGTGCCACACCCCCCCACCATCCACCGAGATGGTTGGCCCCGTGCCACACCCCCCCACCATCCACCGAGATGGTTGGCCCCGTGCCACACCCCCCCACCATCCACCGAGATGGTTGGCCCCGTGCCACACCCCCCCACCATCCACCGAGATGGTTGGCCCCGTGCCACACCCCCCCACCATCCACCGAGATGGTTGGCCCCCTTCCCCCCCCCCCCCCCATCCAGTGAAATGGTTGGCCCCATGCCACACACCCCCCCATCCAAAAGAGATGGTTGCCCCTCACCCTAGCGAGAGGGTGACAGAGAGACCCAGGAAACTGCAAGGCTCACACCATGAAAGCTGCTCACTGCAGCCCCCTCCCCGGTATAGACAGTGGGATGGGGGGGACAGCACCCATAGCCCGGGGGGGGGGAACAGGGGGGCCACCCCTGGCGGGCGGGGCGGAAGGGGGGGGCGCTGTTATCTACTGGCCTGTTCTACCCCTGGGCACACA